GGAACGTTCGTCATCCTGTCGATGGAACAACCGCCTGGAGGCGATGGTCGTGCGTGTACGCGACTCCGTTAGAAAAAGTCAAGCAGCTTGGACCAAACCTGAAGATAGTCTCGGGAGACACGAGGCGAGGATTAAGTAGACGAAGGGAGGCAAAGGTTGCTCTGTGTTTCAAGGAAGGGCTCGTAGTACATCTATCGACGTACTTCTGCAACCGCCTGGGGGCTTCGAAGGCATCTGGAACCAAAATATATGGTTCCGCGAAGGTGAAGGCCACCTTCGGAACAAGGATGAAAACAAACGACACCAAAAAGAAAATTGAATTACGCGTTGCTCGCTTTCTTGAGACTTCGAGAGTTTCAGAGAAGCTCGAAGGTACAGAGTGCTCCAAAACTGAAGGGTTCACTCCGTGGAGCGAATGAGAGTACGTCTTCGCTTTACGATGCTTCCAGCACCATAAACGTCGGCAATTTAACGGACACATTCTGCCTCTTAAAACAGAGAGACATAATAAACAAGCGGCGCGTAAAAGTGTCATTAATCCAGGTCGTGTATACTTTCGCTAGTGAAAGTGGGTGGATTAAATTTTCTGAATTAACCAAACATTCTAGGAGAACCCTTCTCTAAGGTGGCCTCAACGCGTAGTTATCAACAGCAGATGATGGTGGGTGGATAGGTTCATCGCTGTGTAATACTCTTGAGAAAATAAACGAACTTTCAGTTAGACAACAATATCTATCAAGCTCAGCAATTCGGAATCCAACGTACGTGCCCCGAGTTTGACGTCCCAGTTCCAAAGGATCGATCGTTCCGCGAAGACCTCGATGAAAACAAACGCGGTGACTCCCGTCGATGCAACAACAGGACATCCACCGGACGTCATCGGTTAATTACACGCTCGGTGGGAACCTGGGGGCTCGGGAGCTCATAATCGAACGCGATGCGGCCGTCTGCCAACGGCCAAAATTAGATCACTCCGATATCCCGTGTAAATTATCACGATCGAGCTCGTCGAGGCATCCGCGATCGCTTCGAGGAAACTCGTGGAATCGATTACCGTAATGCTGATCGTCTTTCGTATTTATAACCCGCATTAATCAACTAGTCGCCTCCTGCGAGAAGATCGACGCGCTCCGTCGAGCATCGAGGACGCCGGTGCTGCGTCGAGGATGATGAATAGTGGTTGAAATCGTTGTGTGCGGATGCGAGGTCAAAGGATGTTGAGAATTTTTGTTTGGACAAGATAGAGAGGTGGATGAAAGAAGCTAGAACAAAAGCTAGATAGCTTTGATTATCTCGACAATTCGATAGGGAGAGACTGCGGGACCTTGAAAGGGAAAGGTATAAACGCTGGGCACTGATAGCAAATGTTTATATAAGATTAGTATTTAAGGCTAGAGGGATAGCTTTGATTACTTTGCGACAGCTCGGTCGGGACCGGCGAGCTATTTATTTCGAAACAGGTGTGCTACTCGGCTCGACTTTGTTCCTGAGCGTGACGAGGAGGAGAACCCGTAGATAAAAAAAAGGGGGTTCGGTGTAGCGGCGAACTATAAAGTGATCGCTCGGGCACGAGTGTTGTGCTTTGGAGAATGACAGAGGATAACACGCTTTCTCATTTTAGCGCTAGTAAAATTAAACAAATGGAATGTATATGTCCAACTAACAGTAGTATTTCGGAGAATATACACGCCAGAGAAAGAGAGAGAGAGAGAGAGAGAGAGAGAGAGAGAGAGAGAGAGAGAGAGA